GTGCCATGTCAGCGACGGTCCCCCCACCAGACTGGAAGGTGCCTGCAAGCAGCAGCCAGGTCTGCCCAGCTCCACCACACACCACAGGGCAGAAGAGGGAATAGGCGCGCCGGAGGAACGGGGTAGGGACGGACACGGGCACTGGGCGGGCTTGCGGGGCTGGGCCGGGCCGCACCTTGTCTATGTAGCTGTGGCCCAGCTCCTTCACTTCCTGCAGGTGCACCTGGGCCTGCACCTGGCTCTTGCCCAAGCGCCGCCGACAACGCTTCCGGTAGAGGCAGAGACAGCAGCTGAAGACCAGGAGGCCTGACACCAGCACGATGGTGGCCAGGGCCCAGGGGGGCACTGCGGAGGGAGATGGCAGCGCTGAGCTGGGCAGCTGACCTGCGACGCCCGCTCACTCGTGGGGCCAGCGGTGGCCTCCGTGGCCCTGCAGCCGTTCCACTCGACCCCGCCTTTCCTCGCGACTGCTCTCACCAGTAAGGTGATTTGCTGCCCTGACCCAGGTCGGCTCCACCCACACTTGCTTATTAGTTCCAAAGTTCCCTCCAACCCACTTCTAAGTCCTGCTCCACCCCTGCTGTTTTTAGAAGCTGTGATCCCAGGGACCAGCAGTCGGTGTAATGGCTATGTTGCTGGACTCCCATGTAGTTACCGCGGCTCGAGTCCTGGACCTGGTGGCTTAAACTCATGCCAGGTGCGTGTGCGTGCATGTCAAAGATCCCAAGAGGAGAATGGAGGAGAAGAGACTGTGGCGTGACCATCCCCCCCCGGGGGGGGCGATTTCTCGCTTTGTCTCTCTGTCTCTTTTTGGGGAACGCACGTGCCCTATAGCAAAAACCTCTCCAAAAAAAGAAGAAGCTGCGACCCTCCCCAGGCGGGCAGAACTGTCAAGACCTTATTCCATGCCACGCCCCCGATCTGCTGCTGGTTTTTCTTGCAAACCTGTTCGTTCCTTTCTCCTCGTGTCATTCAAATCCCACCCCAGGATGCCGACCTCCGATCCCAGCCGGATTTTACCAGCCTGCCACCCCGCGCACACCCGTCCAGATCCCGCCCCTCGAAATCCTTGCCAGGCTTTTCCTCTGCTCAGCCCGGCTCTCGCTCACCTGGGCGGTGGCCGATGCGACTGGAGTCCGGAGGTGTGTCGGGCGCTGGAGGACCCGGGGTTGGGGGCTCTGGGAACATGGTGACGGGGTCCTACGGTCCTTTCTGCAGAGGCACCAGGCACCCCAGTTCCCCAGACCCACCCCAGGCATCCACTTGGTCCTCCGAACAACAGGGAACTACAACTCCCATCAGCCCCCTGCGTGATTGGCCAGACGCCGCGAGGCATATCGGGAGCGGTAGGTTCAGCTGATCGCGACGGAGGGCAGGTGCTTTGGGAGAGCCTGGACCGAATTCAATCCCAGAGGGACGCCCTTCCCTCCAAGGCACCCGGGCATCCAGCTGACTTCTGCGCCTTCCTCGCCCTCCCCACGCCTGAGCCGGAAGTGGGAGAAGGCGGGCGTGGGAACCAGCGGACCCGTTGCCCAGAGCAACGACCTGGCTCTACTCGGGCGGGGTGGGATCCACGGTTGTCCGGGCAACGGCCTGTTGCCGGGACAACGGGTGGGGCTGACGCACGGAAGCGGCGTCCGGGCGGGGCAGGTTCGCTCCAGGTACCTGAGACCCCCGACCGCCTGCGGAGCTCTGCTCTGCGTCTGGCCCTCGGAGCTGCGCCGCCCTGTCCCCACCCCTGCCGGGTGCCCCTGCTAGCCCCACAGCCTTCTCGGTCTCGGTCTCTCGCGCATCCCCAGCTCCGACTTCACACCTGTTCCCGCGGCCGCCTCGATCCCTGCTTCTCTCTCGGCCCCAGATAGGCGTCGTCCCTATTTCTGCCTGTCTCCCACCCGTCTGTCCCTCGCCCCGGGGCCCTCTGCCTGCTCTCCCCTCGTCGGCCTCCCGCCTTTGTCGGTCCCCACACCCGACTGGCGTCGCTAAAACGCAGGCTCTCGATTTCAGGCTCCAGTCTCCCGTTCCCGCCTCTGGTCCCTCCCGGCGTCCCCCCAGCACGCACCCCACACCCATCCCCCTGGGGCCAAGAATCAGGATGGGAGGGGGGGAGGGGTCGGGGCAGCTCCTACCTGCTCAGCGGCCAGACCAGACCCTCCCGGGAGAGCCGAGGCGCCGCCCGCCCGGCCCCGTGTTCCTCCCGGGCAGGCGGAGAGCCCCGCCCCGTCCTCGTCACCCCCCGCCCAAACCCGAGAAACCGATGGCGCTGGGATGTGTTTCCGGGTGCCTTAGAATGCTCTGCCTTCTGTCCAGCCCCGGGGCATCCACACCCGGTCCTCGGACCCGAGACCCCTCTGGAGACCCAAGTACTCGGGCGCCCTGTCCTTACGCAGCCCCGACGTCATCCTCCACGTCCCATGTTCCATGTCCCAGGAGGCCACCCCATGCTGCCAGGCCCTGGACACAGCGCTGCCCCCTCCGCTGAGCGGCGCCGCCACCATTTCTGAAGTGCGGAACTGTGTGTGCCCTTAGTCCCCGGGGCGTTTGCCTCAGCACCCAGACATCGGGGACCCACCCTAACGCCCACTTCCATACCGTTTCCATCTACTAGGGCAACCATCCCTGGGGAGAACGAGGCTTTAATAAATTACGGGCCAGAAGGAGCAGTCGGAGCGTGGGTGCGGGGGGACGGGCACAGGCCCCATCAGCCCAGGTCACTGGTTTCCCAGGGCAGCAGCCAGGGCCCTGCCCGCCCTGCTCTGGGCGGCCTCCGATCCGGACTCTGGCTCCCCCGGCCTCAGACCCGGAATCCAGGTTCCAGCCCACCCTTGAGCCCTGCAGCTGGCCCCTGGGGGACTAGGAGACCCCAGCTGCGGCTCGTCTCCTTCAGGGAGCCTGGCACCCGGCCCCAGCTCCTGCAGGGCTCACACATTTGCGCCCCTGCCCCTCCCCCTGGGCAATCAGGATTGGGCCCCAGCGCCCCCCTCTGACGGAGCCGGCACATCAGCAGAGCGGGATGCAGGCTGGGCCCCGCAGCCTAGACCTCTAGGTCATGGGCCCGGATGGCGGCCGAGTTCTCGTAGACGAGCCCCGCAGTCCTGTGGCCGGCGGGCTCCTGGGCGGCTGGGACTGACTGCTGGAGGAACCGCAGGATGCACTGGTGCAGGAACACGTACTGGGCCTGGGGGGCACGCAGGGTGAGGGGTGCCCTCCCGCGGCCTGGCCCACGCCCCACCGCGCCCGCGCATCACCTCGGTCTGCACCATCAGTGGCCGGCTGTCTCTCATCCTCTTCACGAAGCCGAAGGGCCCCACGAGGCCCTCACACTGCAGCTGCCGGAGCAGGACGTCCAGGGCGATGAGGGTGCCCGTGCGGCCCACACCGGCGCTGGGCAGGACAGAGAGTCAGCACAGGCGGGCCGCCTCTGTAGGGCCCAGCAGGGATCTGCTTGGGAGCTCTCCGCAGGCCGCAGTCTGAGCAGGGTGTCCTGGGGTAGGCGGTGCCCATCCACCCAGACCCTCCCGGGGCAGGCCCTGCCCTGGGTGCCGGTGCCTTCCACCCATCCCAAGCCTGAGGCTCTTAGCCCCCCACTTCTCAAGCCACTGGTCTGGGGCTTGAACTCAATCGGCCACGTGGGATCCAGCTGCCTCTAGTACCATGCCCCCCGCCCCACTGGCCCATCTTATCCTCATTTTCTTCTCTTTCTTTTTAAGTGTAGTTTCTTTTCTTTGAGAGAAATGGAGGGAGCGTGCACCCCAGCACTCCTCGCCCCTGCCCCTCGAGCCTAGCCTCCGCAGCCAGGTCCCAAATGCACTGCCACACAGGCGAGACAGGGACCCGGCCTCCCCGGGCCGGCCAGGCTGCCCCTGCACGCTGTCTGGCCCTCGTCCTCCCCTCACCTGGTCTGTGCCTCCCCCATCTTCTACGACCCCCTCTTCCTCCATTCCCCTGAGTTCCCAGGGAGCCGTTTTACCCCACTTGCTGAGCCGAGCCCCAGCCCCGGGCACCCCCCCCTCCGAGGGAGCAGATGAGCAGATCGGGGTGGTCCCCACCTGCAGTGCACAATGGGCGGGCCCCCCTCCACGGTCTGGTCCAGCCACTGCCGGAGCATCTTCCAGAAAGCCAGCAAGGGGTCTGGGGAGTGGGGGACGCCATGGTCTGGCCAGGCCAGGTAGTGGAACTGACGCACGGACAGAGTGCTCTTCTCCTCCAGCTGCAGGGAGGGAGAGTGCACAGGCTCTGGGGATGGGGGCTGAGTGGCTGGTGGGGGGTTCCCCGGGCAGCCCCTCAGGGCCTTTGTGGGGAGTTCTGGGTGGCAGGCTGGTGGGGACGAGTGGAGGACAGGAGGGTGGGGGCTCACATGGACGACTTGCAGGTCCCGCACAGCCCAGTCCTCCATCACCTCCTCACCCACCAGCGTCACCCGCAGGCACCCATGGGTGCAGGGCTGAGCATCCAGAGGCCAGTAATGCTCACACTTCACCTGGGGGAGGGTAGGAGAGGGTCAGAGAGTAAGAGGCCCTTCCATTCCAGAGGGGGTGATCCCCTGCCCAGGCAACAAGGCAGGACGTGTGGGCTGGGAGGCCCCTCCACCCGCTTTGTGCATGGACCAGCAGGGGCCTGGGGGTGCTGGGAAGGGAGCACATGGAGCACGTCGGGGCCTGCTGTGGCCCGGAAGGACGCGCGACCCCCGAGGCTCATGTTCCAGGGCACGGCTGTGGGAGGGTGTGCTCTGTGCGGTGGGGCCTGATGGAAGGCACCGCCCATCATCGCGGGGCCTGGGAGGGACGAGCACAGGAAGTGTCCCTGTCTCTGTCTCTCCGTCTGTCTCTGATGCCGACCTCACACCTTTGGACTTCCGGCCCCCAGAGCTGTGAGCCGAGCAGGCCTCTGCCCCAGATATCTGTCGGTCACGCGGTAACGGGCAGACAGGACGATACGGGAGGCATCAGAGTTCCCGGCTGGGGTCTACCCTGAGGCCAGTGCCAAGATGGAGCCCCTCTCACCCGACCAGACTCCATGCAGTTGGTCAGCATGACCAGGGTGTGGCTCTGCTGCTCCCACACCAGGCGCCAGAAGTCGCCCACGGTCTGGGGCAGGGGGCCCTGGGCTGCAATGAACTCCTGGGAGCTCCAGAGGCCCTGGAGGAGAGCAGGGGTCAGGCGCGGTCCTCAGCCCCTCCACCCTCACCTCTCCCCTCCCAGCGCGACCTTACAGGTATGAAGCTGGCATTGATGTAGTCAGAGCCTGGTTCCCCGGGGATGGGCTTCAGGGGCACCCGGGACCAGTCATCTAGAGAAAGGAACCAGTGTCAGCGAGGTAGACAGAGTGGTGAGAGGCGGAGACCGGGAGCTAGCAGGGCTCGAGAAGGCTGGAGGGCCTCCGCTGCAGGGGCCAGGGAATTCTCGAGGGGACCCACAGTGGGAGGAGCATGGTCGCTCGCAGGGCAGGGAACAGAGGGGGTGTAGCACTGAGGTGCCCACCAGCTGGGCCGGGGCAGCGGTGGGGCCGCACTCACAGGGCAGCACGTTCCTGTAGCGGTTCTTGGCGCTGTTCTCTGGAGCCGAAGCCACCGTCTGCGGCGGGCTGTGGCCCTCCGGGCCCAGTTGCTGGGGGCAGAGACAGAGGCATGGTGTGGGTTTCTCTGCCTTCCCCCAGGGGCGGCCCTGCAGCTCTGGGCCTTCAGCATCACCCCATCTGTCCTCTGTGCCCTGGGACCCTGCAGCATTGCAGAGCCAGCACATACGCATGTGCGCCACTGTTGGTGAGCCGTGGCGGGGGACCGGGGGCCGGCCAGAGCCCCTGAACAGACCTAGCCCCACGGCCGGGTAGGAAGCCGGGGCCCCTGGGGCAGCCTCACATTCCAGCCTCAGCAACTTGGAGAACATGCTGGGAGTGTGTGCCCAGAATCCCCACGGGCGGGAGGAATGGAGGAGAATGGATGGTAGGGCGCCCTCACCGGCGGGAGGTGCCATCTCCCCTTTCCTCTCTCTGGGGAGCACATGCAGCCTCTGGCCACTTAAATAAATCAGTAACTAGGACCAGCTGCTGGTGTGATGGTTAAGGCAGCTGGATCCCACATGTCAAACAGCCATATTCCCATCTAGCAACCTATAGTTTTAGTTTTTAAATTTATCTATTTTATTGTATTTATTATTATTGTTCTTCAATTTGATCAGAGAGAGGAGCTAGTGAGAAAGCAAGCCTCCAGGCTTAGGACTTGAACTGTGGTCAGCTATGTGGGAGTCCAACACCTTAACCACCACACCTGCCAGGCCCTTGTTCTGTTTTTTGTTTGTTTGTTTGTTTGTTTGTTTTTAAGAAAACAGACCATCTCAGTGGGAGCAGGTAGCCTCTTTGGGACCAAGTATTCGTTATTTAGAAACTCCAGAGATGGGACCGGCAGGTGGCATGGTGGCTAAGGGCGCTGCACTCCCACGTGGCCGGCCACAGTGCGGGTGCCAGTCCTGGCGGCTTGCCTTCTCACTCTCCCTCTCGTTCTGTCCCTCTCTGATCAAATTAAAATAAAGTTAAATAAAATAACTCGGTGGACAGCTGCTTGGACTGCACCCCAGAGGGTGGGGAGGGCCTGGGGCGTGTGGGGCAGGGAGGAGCTCGCTGGCCTGCAGCCCACCTGGTATTCTTCCGCAAAGCCACAGTTGCTGTCCCTCTCGTTCCTCCTGACGTGGTCGGCAAAGTCCTCTGCCCAGATGTCCCCAGGGAAGCTGCAAAGGGCGGGGGTGGGAGAGGTCTCAGCCTCCAAACTCTGCTCATGGGAAGGAAAAGGTGTTTCTGTTTGGCAATGCCACATCTGGGTGCATGCCGCAAAGAAATGACCACGAGGGCGCAGAGATGTCTGCAGGTCGTGCTGGCAGCCTGCCAGCCATGCAGCCTCCCACAGTGGACACCAGAGGAGCAAGACGTGCTCTCTCCCCCGGGAGCACCATTCGGCCCGAGAAGGGAGGAGAGCCAGCTGCGGGCTACCACATGGACAACTGGTCGACCGCCAGCCGCCCCCCCCCCCCACCAGGGCATGCACCCTATAGCAGTTTTTTTCCCGAGAGAGAGATTTTTGCTCTAGGGCATGTGCACTTGCTGGAGAGACAGAGACAGAAAGCCAGACATCACCCCCTACCCAAGCGTGCATGGGCATGCCGATCCCTTCTCCATTCCTCTTGGGATTTTGGGCATGCCCATGCCTGGTGTGAGTTTCAAGCCCCCCGTCCAGGACTCAGACAACAGTCAGCCGTGTGAGAATCCAGTTCCTTAACCACTACGCCACCTGCTACCCCCCAGCAGTTTTTTAAAATGGTAAATTGGGGCCAGCAGGAGCTGTGGTGGTGGTCAAGGCACTAGACTCTCACATGGCTGAATGTGGTTCGAGTCCTGAACCTGGTGACTTGCTTTCTAAATTCTCTCTCTCTCTGTCTCTCTCTGGTGAGTGCATATGCCCTATAGCAAATTTAAAATAATGATCATAATAATAAATAAATAAAATTTTGGAAAGATTTTTGTTATAGGCATGTGTACTTGCCAGAGAGACAGAGAGAAAGAAAGCAAGAAATCACCCCTGGGGGAATGGCCACACTGCAATCCCTTCTCCTCCATTCTCCTCCTGGGATCTTGAACATGCATGCACATGTGCCCAGTATGAGTTTTAAGCCACCAGGTCCAGGACTCAAACAGTGGTCGACTACATGGGAATCCAGTGACGTAGTCCTTACGTCATCTGCTGGTCCCAATAATAAATACAATGAAATAATTTGCATCCTAGGACCGCCCTCTGCATATCAGCCAGGTGCACATGCGTTTCCCTGTGATTGTGGCTGGTCTCCCACATGGCTGACCGCAGTTGGAGTCGTCCTAGACCAGGCGGCTTGAAACTCGCATCAGGTGCACGTGCATGTGTGCCCAAGATCCCAGGAGGAGAGCAGAGAAGGGACTGCCATGTGGCCATCCTGGGGGTGATCGCTCACTTTCCGCCTCACTGTCACTGTCTCTCTGTCTCTCTCCAGTGAACACATGTACCCCAAGGCAAAAACCTCTAAGGAAAACAACAAGAAGAAAGTGGACACCACATCCCCACCCCTCCCGCTCAGCCTCACGTGTGTGCTGGAAGGCCGTTGCCTCGAGGTGCAGCTCGCCTTGTGCCCAGACCATCACGCCCTGTCTCCGGCTTCCCTTCTCTCCTCCCCCTGCCCCACCTGTTCTCTAGATCAAATCCAGGGGAAAGTAAAGTGTGTGATTTTGCTATGTGCACTCTCAGGAGAGAGACAGAGCAGAGACAGACCGCATCCCCTGGGGATAGTCACGATCCCTTCTCCATTTCTCCCTTCTTTCAGGACTTTGGGTGCATGTGCACACATGCTCCTGGCATGTTTTCAAGCTGCCAGGTCCAGGACAAACCAGCCAGCCATGTGGAACCCAGCTGCCTTAACCACTATCCTGCTGGCTAACCCGGGACACTCTTTTTCTTTTCCTTCTTTCTTTCTTTCTTTTTTTTTTTTTGAGAGGTTTTTGCTATAGGGCGCGTACACTCACCAGAAAGACAGAGAGAGACAGAGAGATAGAAAGCGAGAAATCAACCCCCCGGGGGGGATGGTCACGTCGCAATCCCTTCTCCTCCATTCTCCTCTCGGGATCTTGGGCACGCACGCACACGCGCCCGGCGTGAGTTTAAGCCGCTGGGTCCGGGACTTGAACCGTGGTTGACTACGTGGGAGTCCAGCGACATGGCCATGATGCTAACTGCTGGTCCCGAGCCCGGGACACTTTCTGACGCGGACTGCCGGCCTGACCTAGTGAGGGTCGCGGGGTATCTCACAGCTTCTCCTGCACCATTCACTGTGTACCCAGCTGCCCACTCGCTGAGGCTGGGATGACGATCTGCCTCTCAGGAAACTGGTGCCCAGTGTGGTGGCATCAGGGGTCTGATGGGAGGGCACTGTCCAATCGGTGGGGTGGGGAGGGCGAGCTGAGTTCGGTCTTCTTATCTCCCCCTCTGCCTGCCGGCCGCGGTGGGCTGAGAGCCCAGGGCTGGCGGGCTGCCAAGCCCACACCTCTGGACTTGCGGCCACCGGAACTGTAAACCCGCGCCTCATAACCAGCCACCTCAGGTGTTTGTTCGGCCCACCGCCGCTCGGCGTCCTCATCCACCGCCCGCTGTGCATGCTTCGTGTTACTCCAGCTCGGCCCGGAACGCTCTCCCCTCCTCCCACCAGCCATCCCACCCAGCACAGTGAGTCCAGCCCCCTTGCCACTTAAGCCAGTCCTCAGAGGAGCCCTCGAGCCTCTCTGACTCTCCTATGGCACCCACATTCTTTAACCAGTTCTGTTGTTTAAACTCAACGTTTCTCTCGAACCTGGCCACTTCTATTTTTTTTTTTAGAGATTTTTTGCTACAGGGCATGTTCACTCTCCAGAGAGACAGAAAGCAAAAAATCACCACCCAGGGGGGATGGCCACGCCGCAATCCCTTCTCCATTTTCCTCTTGGGATCTTAGGCATGCATGCACACACGCCTGGTGTGAGTTTCAACCCGCCGGGTCTGGGATTTGAACCACAGTCAACCATGTGGGAGTCCAGTATGTAACCATTGCGCCACCTGCTAGTGCCAAGTCTGGCCACTTCTAATCACCTTCTGGTCTAAGACCCAGTTACCTCCTCCCTAGATTACTACAGATCTCTTCCTGAGCTCCCATGTCTGCCTCTGCTTCCTCAGCATGTCCCGCGTCACTGAGCTGTTCGAAGCCCTCCAAAGGCTTCCCATGGCAGAGCGGAGCCCAAGTCTCCACCTGACCTTCCTCTGTGAGGCTCGACCTGACTGGGTCCCTCCTGGTGCCTCTTTGACCGCACTGCCTGCCCCTCCCTTCTCTCCCTTCGCTCAGTCTCAGAGAGGCAGCGTCTGCCCCCCCTTTCTGTCTTCTTCCTCTCCCTTCTTTCTTTTTCTCTCTTTTCGATTTCTGCCGTCGGACACATGTACTAACAGTGAGAGGAAGGGTGAGAGATCACCCCCAGCGGGGACGGCCACACGGCGAGCCCTTCTCCGTTCTCCTCTGGGGATTTTGGGCGCACACACGCCTGGTCTGGAACTCGAACTGTGGTCGGCCATGTGGGAGTCCAGCGCCGTAACCACCACGCCACCTGCCAGCCCGCACTGTTCTTTACATGCCACAGGACGTCACGCCTCAGGGCCTCTGCGCTTCTGGCGCTCTGCCTGGAGAGCTGTGGCACGGGTGGCACCGCCCTCACCTCTGATCTGCACTCGACCTTAGTCACCTTTCACAGCCTCTCCCTGGGCACCCTGAACACCCTATCTAGAACTCGCTCCCACTGCAACCCCCGATGGGAATGGAAAGCCTCTGCTGGGCTCCCTCCCTGGCGCCCCCTCTTGCCCTTTCCTGGGGTCCCTCCCTGGCGCCCCCTCTTGCCCTCCAGTCCCCAAGTATACAGCCTCTGCTGGGGGTCATGGATGTCTTCCTGTGCTAGAGTGCAACGCTCTGCGAGGGCAGGGGGGTGTTTAACTTCCCGCTTCCTGGCACTTGGGACAGCCCTGGTACACTCGAAGTGCTCAGGTCACGCTGTGGAGGCTGGCCTGGTGGCAGTGGGTAAGGCGGCTGGACCCCACAGAGCCGACAGCACAGTCTGAGTCCCAGATGTGGGGCTTGGAAAACATGCCAGGCACGTGTGCATGTGTGCCCGAAATCCAGAGAGGAGAACGGAGGAGTGGGAACTGCAGTGAGGCCGTCCCCCAGGGGTAATTCCTCACTTTCCCTCTCACTTTCTTTCTCTGGTGAGCACACATGCCCCACAGCAAAAATGAAAACAAACAAACAAACAAACAAACGAAAGTTGTTGAATGAAGAATGGAAATCCCAGAGCTGGGCCAGGAACTGATGCCAGGTCCCTGGCCGGCCGCCTGCGGGGTGACTCACAGGGAAGGACGGCGCTCCTGCCCCCTGAGACCTGCCGGGTGCACTGACCCATCTCTGGCGCCCGGGACCAGCAGGCACTGTGACTACCCAGCAGCGACAGCCGCGCTCCCAGCACCTGTGCTCACCTGAAGACCAGGCCCCCAGGTGTGGCTTTCTTCTGGTTCCCATTCCTGGACAGACATTGAGATGGAAGGTTCCGTGAGTGAGGCTGGAGCAGGGCTCTTCCCCTTCTCCCTCTGCCCCTGGCCCCCAGCAGGTCCCACACTGAGTCTCACCTCCTCTTCAGGAAGAAAACGAGCAGGGTCACCAGGATGATGAACAGGAGGACGCCCACCACAGCCCCAGCAACGACCCCTGGAGAGGTGAATAGGGCCCTTCGAGTCGGCCCAGTCCCCACTCACCCACGCTCAGGGGCCTGCAGGGGAGACCAGTGACCGAGGACACACCTGGAAGAAGCCCACCTCTCGGAGCCTGGTCCAAACACACCGTCGCTTTGGCAGACCTGGTGCTAACGGTGGCTCTTACCTCTGCTCACCTAAACCAGGGGCTCAAGGAGGGTGGTTTTGTTCCCAGGGGCCACTGGGCAACAGCGGAAGACATCTGGGCTGTCACCGCACGGGGGCAGGGTGCTCATGGGAATGGAGCCCAGATGCTGCTCAGGGGCACCTGCAGGCTGAGGCAGCCCAGAGCAAAGCTGGCTGGCGCTGGGTTAGGCTGTGCCGTGCTGGGTTGGGGAGCGCTTCCCTGCACGGAGACCCCCTCTCTCAGACGTCCTGTTGCCAGGGAAGTGCTCCCCAGCATGCTGCCTCAGGCCCTGCTTGGTCCAGGCACTGCTGGGCACAGCTCTCCAGAGTCCGCGTCCCCCAGACCCACGTGTGGCCTGGCTTAAGGTAAAGGGAGCCATAACTGCACTGTAAGGAGGCAGGGCAGGGGTGACGGTTGCTAAGGAGAGGGACTGCCAGGAGACGGGTGCGCTCCTATGCTCCACCGTGGTGTGGTGCAGCCTGGACCTCAGCCTTCCAAACCGTGAGCTGAATAACCCCATTCCTCTTAGGCCAGCCTGACTCAGGCATTTCCGCTGGCAGCAGCAGAGTACACGGGAACTGACACCTGGCCAGAGGGTGACCTCGAGCTCACGGCCCATCGCCATCAGCCAGAAAGGCCTGTGGGCTGTTGGGACCGGTAGGTGGATTCCCACATGGCCGACCGTGGTTTGAGTCCCAGACCTGGAGGCTTGCTTTCTCAGTCCCCCCCACCCCCTCACTCTGTCCTCTGGTCAAAATAAAATAAATAAATAAAGTTAAATAAAATAATTCTGCACTGACTCCGTGCAGGAACTTTAAACATTAGCCAAGTGAGAGTGGCCAATTATAAAAGGCCAACAACTTTTATAAAATGTCCAGGAACCAGCAGTTGGCGTAATGGCTATGTCGCTGGACTCCCATGTAGTCAACTGCAGTTTGAGTCCCGGATCTGGTGGCTTAAATTCATGCCAGGCACGTGTGCATGAGTGCCCAAGATCCCGAGGGGAGAATGGAGAAGGGACTGCGGCGTGGCCATCCCCCCTGGGCAGGGAGGTGATTTCTCGCTTTCTGTCTCTCTATCTCCCTATCTTTCTGTGCTAAAGCACACGCACCCTAGAGCAAAAACCTCTCAAAAAAAGATATATATATGTATATATAAAATATCCAGAACAGGCAGGCGTGCGGACAGAACGCTCTCTCGGGGCTGGGGTAGGGAGTGAGGAAGTGAGGGCTGAGTTCTCTTGGAGGGTGAGGAGCACGCCCTGGAAGCCACACTCGCCGTGGCCATACCCTGCTGTGGGGAT